GAAGAAGGAAGGAAGGATAAACGGCTAAAAGAGATGGAATTGAGATACGACTTTGGGGAGGAAAGAAATATCCATGTATAGTTTGACTTTGTCTGGAAAAAACTGTAAATAAGGATAGTCATGTCATAAGGCCGCCAACTCACTAGCTCATCGAGCCGGGGTGATGGCAACGAGGAAAACTGTTTTAAAGGTAAGTAGCTGTAAAGCAGTTGAAGCTAAAGGTTCGAAAGGAGCTTCAGTAAGTTGTTGCAGTACTAGTATTGGAGACCATTGCAGGGAAGGCAGGTGGGTATCTGGGTAGATGTGAGATAGACCTTTAAGAAAATGTTTAAATGTTGGATGTTTGAAGAAATCAGCTGCCAGAGAGTTAGAGGGGCTGATAAGAAACTATGGCAGCGAGGTAAACTCTCAAGGAAGAGAGGGAAAGGCCGTTAGACTTGAGATGAAGCAAAAAAATGTAGTACAGTAGCAAGTGATGGGTTGATAAGAAGGCAATGAAGAAGCTTCAGTGAAAGATTTGAATCTGTTCCATTTATACAGGTAAGCCTTTCTAGTGGAGGGCTTCTTTGACTAACGGAGGACATTCATTAGTGAGGCGGAATACTCCATGCTGCCAGGTGCAGAAGTTTGGGTGGAATACTTGGGTGTTGTTCTGTGTGAGGAGGTGGGACATGTAAGGGAGGTGGTGAATGTCTGATAAGAGATTATGAAGGACTGGAAGCCAAGGTTGTCTCGGCCACCAAGGGGCTATAACGATGGCATCGTGTTTGTCTTGTTGCAGACAAACCACGACTTTGTGGAGAAACAGTAACAGCGGGAAAAGGTAAGTGAGGGTCTTGAACAAACCACGACTTTGTGGAGAAACAGGAACAGCGGGAAAAGGTAAGTGAGGGTCTTGGGCCATCTGCCGATGAATGCATCTCTTGGGAGTGTTTTCCAATGCCAGCTAGGGGGCAGTATCATTTGCACTTCCGATTCATTCGGGAAGCGAAGAGGTCGAGAGTTGGTTTGCCCCATCGTTCACATAGGCGAAGAAAAACTGATTGGTCGTCAGTGGTGACCTGTATTTGTGGTCGTGGTTGTTGGAACGGCCTCCTGATGGATAGGTTGGGAGGAAAATGCCACCACTGAAGTTGGGAGGTGGGTTTTTGGGGTGATCCTTAAAAGAGTGTGAGGAGGGTCTGTGAGCGGGTCGAAGAGGGTGAGAAACCATGACTGAAGAGATCTCATCTTGAGACGTACGTGCTGGACTACTGAAATCATAGAGGCCATGGTGCCTAGTACACATTGCACAGTCAAGGCTGGTACCATAGCATATGGGGTGAAAACTTGATGTGATGAGATTTTCTCTTTCTCAAGCCAATCGTCGATACATGGGAATATGAGAATTTTTTGCAACCTGAGGTAAGCAGTTACCGGTGCCATGCATTTGGTGAATATTCCTGGAGTATTGCAAGGCCAAAAGGAAGCCTTTTGAATTCGGTGAATACTCCTGGAGTGTTGCAAGGCCAAAAGGAAGCATTTTGAATTAGTAGGCTTGTGATCCTAATTGAAATTGAAGGAATTTTCAGTGCGAGGGATGTATGGAGATATGGAAGTATGCATCTTTGAGATCTATGAGATATGTATGGAGATATGGAAGATATGCATCTTTGAGATCTATGACAGTGAATCAGTCGTCTTTGCAGAGTAAAGGGAGAACTGATTCGAGGGTAAGCGTACAGAACTTTGTGGTAACTATGTATTTGTTAACTCTCATAGGTCTAAGATAGGGCAAAAACCTCTGTCCTTTTTGGGTACGGTGAAATAGTGAGAGAAAAACCCTTTGTTGTGTTATGAGATGGGTTGTATGGCGTCTTTGAGGAGCAAATTTCTTATTTCCTCTTGTAGGGTTGGGGATGGTGGAGCAATGGTGTGTGTTTCCTAACCAGTTTGTAGCTGCCAATAGGTTCTCACTCTTATCTTTTTAAAATATTTTCGATTGGATGGAGAGACAAATTTTACAGTATAAAAACAATGTGATCCAAGAGATAAAGCAACCCCTTTCTAAATTCTTACATATATTCCTTCAGTCTATAGTGACTACTTAGGTCTGTTACTAATGTTTCAGTTAAAATCCAAAATGGAAGCCAAGTGAATGGTTCCTTATTATAACAATAGCAATACCACAAAGTAGTAAATTATATGACAGGACTCTTACTGGCCATCAAATTGAGCATAATTTGGTGAGAATAAGTATGGATTGTTATAAGAGAGTCAAGTCTATGGACACAGAACGTTCAAGTGAGTATGTGACAACATTTCTACTACTTTAAATCATCATCTGTCTGTATAAACCAACCACACTTGTATGAATGCAAGAAGGATTTGTACAGCATTTTGAATACATATAGCTTTAATAAATCAGAGCTCCAATGCAGGGATAACTTCCAATGCAGGGATGCTTAACTAAATACATGAACTTAGTGAGAATGCGGAGATTCGTGGGCATCATTTCTACACGTTAAGTAACAGAGGTGTGTTCACATAGTCAGTGGGACACTTATATAATCATAAAATCAATTTTGAAAACTTTTAGTATATATGCAAGTAGATACAGCCATGGTCAAAAATATTGGCATCCTTGCCATTCTGTCAGAAAATGCAACCCTTCTCTCAGAAAATTGTTGCAGTTGCAAATGTTTTGGTACTCACATGTTCATTTCTTTGGTTCACACTGGAAAAACACTCACAAAGAAGAGATGAAAAGTCAAATATGATACAATTCTACACAGAAACCCAAAAATGCACTGGCCAAAATTACTGGCACCCTGTCTAAATTGTAAGAAATAATTGCTTTTCAAGCTTGTGATGCTCCTGTAATTTGTATTCAGACACACCTGTTGCAAGTTGGAGGTGTGGGCAAAATAGTAATCACACTTGCAACCAGTTAAGATGGAGAAAAGTTGATTCAACCTTTGTGTGGTGTATGACACTGAGCATGGAGAAAAGAATGAAGTGTAATGAGTTGTCTGTAAATTTGAGAGAAAAAATTGTGGAAAAACATCAACAATCTCAAGGCTACAAGTCCATCTCCAGAGATCTTAATGTTCCTGTGTCCACTGTGTGCAATATCATCAAGCGGTTTACAGCCCATGGTACTGTAGCTAACCTCTCTGGACATGGAAGGAAGAGCAAAATTCCTGAAAAATTACAAAGGGTTGTTCGAATGGTGGATACAGAACCCAGATTAATTTCCAAAAACATTAAAGCTGATCTGCAGACACAGAGTACAACAGTGTCAGCTCGCACTATCTGTTGCCATCTGAATGAAAATGGATGCTATGGAAGGAGACCCAGGAGGACAAAACTGCTGACATAAAGGCATAAAAAAGCAAGACCGGAGTATGGCAAAACACATGTGACAAAATCACAATCCTTCGGGGAGAATGTACTGTGAACAGATGAGACAAAAGTAGAGCTTTTGGGTCAAGGACATCATGGCACTGTTTACAGAAAAAGAAATGAGGCATTCAAAGAAAAGAACACAGTCCCTACAGTCAAACATGGTGGAGGTTCAAAGATGTTTTGGGGTTGCTTTGTTGCTTCTGGCATTCGATGCCTTGACTGGGTGAATGGTATAATGAAATCTGATGATTACCAAAGAATTCTGGGACGCAACATAGTGGCCATTGTACATGTGACAAAATCACAATCCTTCGGGGAGAACGTACTGTGAACAGATGAGACAAAAGTAGAGCTTTTGGGTCAAGGACATCATGGCACTGTTTACAGAAAAAGAAATGAGGCATTCAAAGAAAAGAACACAGTCCCTACAGTCAAACATGGTGGAGGTTCAAAGATGTTTTGGGGTTGCTTTGTTGCTTCTGGCATTCGATGCCTTGACTGGGTGAATGGTATAATGAAATCTGATGATTACCAAAGAATTCTGGGATGCAACATAGTGGTCATTGTCAGAAAACTGAGTCTCCACCAGAGGACATGGGTCTTCCAGCAGGACAATAACCTGAAACACTCTTCAAAAAGCACTCAGAAATGGTTACAAACAAAGCGCTGGAGAGTTCTGAAATAGTCCAGATCTGAATCCCATAGAACACCTGTGGAGACATCTCAAAACAGCAGTTGGGATAAGGCATCCTTCAAATCTGAAGGCCCTGGAGCAGTTTGCAAAAGAAGAGTGGTCCAAAATTCCAATAGAGAGAGGTGTAAGAAATTCATTCATAGTTATGGGAATCAATTGATTTCAGTTATTTTTTTCCAAAGGGTGCTACCAAATATAGTATTAAGTTAAGGCTACCAATGCATTTTTGGGTTTCTGTGTGGGATTGTATCAGATTTGACTTTTCGTCTCTTTTTTGTGCTGTTCCAATGTAAACCAAAGAAATGAACATGTGAGTACCCAAACATTTGCAACCATTTTTTGAGAGAAAGGTTGTATTTTCTGACAGAATTGCAAGGGTGCCAATATTTTTGGCTATGACTGCATATGACTAAAGGGGCAATCCAGGTGTTAAAAAAATGAAATATGAAGGATTTATACAGAAGTCTATGAATCTAAAATCATGTGAACAAGCAAAGCATTCCATGAGATCCCCCCCAAAAAAGAAATTAAAAACAAAAGGGTTAGAAATGGTTAGATCAGGGAAAAACAGAAAATAGAAAAGGCACTCAGAGAGAAACCAGCATTAAGATAGAAGGAAGTCTACTGTTAAAAGTAAAGGGGAGGGAACAAATAATCCAGTACAGGGTTTGTTTTCACAGAGGAACCAGAAGTGAGTTCCACCGATTCTCCTCAGTCCTTTGATCCTAGGAAGGAGGAGACACAGAAAGGGGGCAAACACAGTATAGCACTACAACCAAAGGAATCACCTTGGGTCCAAAATCAAAAAAACGTAACAAAGACAATGGGTGGGTGATACTAAAGGACACAAGTGAGGGGTAAAGGTCACTCAACTGCCTCTAGATACTACAGTACTACTACTGTAGGGTACTGAACTCACTCTGAAGGACGCTTATGGTAGCCTGGGCTCGTATCCACGTTATGGCAGGATTTTGCCTCAAGTCATTCCTTCTGGGATCGTTGCTTGCCCTGCACTCGTAAGTCCCAGAGTCTTCCAAGGTAAGGCGAGTAATTCTCAGCACGCTCACGCCATTCACCCCGTAGGCAGTGTTAATGGTGACACGGCGCTTTCGAGCACCATCCCATAGCTGTTTGAAAGATTCAGCCCGGTTGACTTCAGCATACCACCACTGGATCTCTGGAGTGGGGTTCCCAACCACGTCACAGTACAGCTCAAAGGCGTCCCCCGTGAGTTTAGTTTCTGACATGGGCGACTTGACAAACCCAGCTAGAGGGAGGGGCAGCAGAAATGCAGTGACAGACCAGCAGAAAAGAACAGATCTTATAAAGAAAGCAAATGAATTACAGAAGGAAAAAAAAACAAAGAAGAGAGACAGGCCCATCAATCGCAGCAGCCATTGCATGAGAACAGACAGAGTTTATAGTCTGTATAGAGCTTTAAATTTGTTATCAGCCTTGCAGAATTCTGAACTCTTGGGGGGCAAGGCATCAGTTTTAACAGTTTTTACATTATCTTATATTAAGTCAGCTTGTAGAGACTGCATCTGGAATACACCATGTATATTCTCTTCCCGTTTAAAGTCTCTGAAAAAGAGTTCTCAGTGACAAAACTATCAGATGAAAATTACATTTCAACATCAATTCCTTCTGTTAAACAAAAATACATTTCCTTACATCTTATGACCTGAAATCATGAGTATAAGGAAAAATAATCTCTTTAAAAAGCACCATTTTGATATGACTCTGCTTTGTCCTCTCTTTTGTACCGAGTTCATGATGCAGAAAATTCAGAGATACAAAATGACCTAAATTTTCTGTAGCAGCCAACAAGAGCTTGAAAGTTGCATTCCTCCTAATACAAACTCCCATATTAAACAAGTGCTCCACAGAAACTGTTTAAAAATTAGACAAGTCTTGTTGCAATTTTTAAACACATACATACCCTCTATATGTCTGCAATACAGTATTAGACAATGTCTGCAGTACTTTGAATAGTTTCTTCAGAATTTATCAGTACTCACTGAATCATTTAGATGAGAGACATAAAATGGAACCAATTTAAAATCCATATCCAATGCATTTACTTATTAAGGAAACAGAAGAACAAACAAACCAGGGGCCCTGTTAGAGCTGAGCATTAGTGCATATACTGCATGATTCTTCCCTGTTCCCACAGTACTCTAACCACAAGTGAAAAGCAGTTTTGGCAGAGACAACCCCTGTACTTTCTTGAGTTAGAGAGGACATTTACTAACATTTCTTCATGTCTTTAGAATAATATGGGGGTTCACTAATTCTTCTTCATCTCTTCCAGATAATTTAAGAGTCTTGTCTCTTAAAGGTGAGTCTGATACTGTACTTCTCCAAGGGGAGTATTTGCTGAGGCACATGACTAACATACCTGTTTAACATAACCCTGCCATATTTAGGATAAAACATTTTGGAACCTAAAGGAAAACATATTCCAAATTGGTTTGCATCTCAGGGATTAAATATATCTGCAAAGAGGAAAAATATGTTGAATTATAGCTTTCAGGATGTTACAAGCTAGGGATATATTGAGTTCATCAGCTACTACTACCTTAATACTACTGACTTCTGTAAGAGTCAATGGCCTCATGCTGCAGTGGCTGAAATCCTGTTGCTTAGGGCCACTGAATTGGCAGGGATATGCTGAGTCAGCCTCTCTGTAAGTTCCATTGATTCAAATAGTCCTACTTTAGTTGTGACTTACTTTAGCATAGCAAGTCACAATAAGAATACAGTGGTGCCTCGCTTAACGAGCGCCCCGTTTAATGACGAAACCGCTCAGCGAAGATTTTGCGATCAAAAAAGCGACCGCACTGAGACGTTTTAAATAGGAAAAAATCACTTTGCGATGATCGGTAAGCTGTTTCGCTTACCGATTATCGCATAGCAATCTTTTTCCTACAGCTGATTGGCGGTTCCAAAATGGCCGCCGGGTAAAAAACATGGGCGCCCACTGTTTTCTGGGATGGATTCCTCGCATACCGGGCAGCGAAAAGGGCCACCGTATGGAGGATTTTCACTTAAAGGTAGGTTTTAAGCCCATAGGAACGCACTGAAGGGTTTTCAATGCATTCCTATGGGCTTTTTAAAATCGCTTAGCGATGTTTTCGGTTAGCAGCGATTTTTGCTGCACCGATTAACATCGCTAAGCGAGGCACCACTGTATAATCATTTGAATCAAAAGAACTTACAGAGAGGATGACTCATCATATCCCTACCAATTCAGTGGGCCTACTCCACTGCAACTTGCTAAGCAACAGGATTTCAGCCAGCAAGTGTATAGAATAATCCATAACTACTGAAGATGTAAATCAGACATAAAAACCAGCAAAAAAACTTTTGAGGATCAAGTCCAGTGGGTTACATTCACCGTGAAATGTAATAGTTATTCTTTGAAATACCACAATGTTTTTTCTTTTTCTTTTGTTTTCATCTGGCATGCTTGCATAGACTAACACCACTATTTCTCTGAAAGTTTCTCAGAAATTTTGCAAATGTGACTAGTGGTCTTTTAAAGACACTTGTTTTAACGCAGCAACAGTATTAGACTAAATGATTCTTCTCTTTGTGTTACTTCCTACTGCAAGGTAAATTAGCTTAAAAAACAAACTGACAGCAGAGAAGGCAAGAACTACTTTCACTTTGCTGTTTCAGAACTTAGATGTTGCTGTCTTCTGCATCTTATACATAGAAGCACAGAACTATACACAGCTGGAGGGGATCCCAAGGATTATATAGACACCTCCCCAGGGAATCCATAGCTAAAGCATCCCTGACAGATAGCCATTCAACTTCTGTTTAAACAATGTGTGTGTCCATGAGTACACACAAAAAGCTCTTCATATCATGCTCCAGAACAACATGCCGTACTATAATCTGCAACTATATATTCTTCCCCTTTATATGAAAGCTCTAATTTCATTTTACTTGAATGAAAAAATTATTTGGCATACTTGCCATCATTAACTGCATTCACAGACATTCTCCACCTTCAAAAAAAGAGTTGTGGATAAAATTCTGGTTTCTATTATAACAACTGAAATTAAAAATTAAATACATTGAAAGGTTGCTAAATTCCACAGGATTTAAGAGTAATTCAGAACTGAGACAAATATTTATTCATATTTATAGGCAGAACAGCAAGGAAAGTCACTAGTAAGGATAATAATCACAAAATTAAGACATAAAGTGTGATACATTTCAGAATTTCTGCCCAGCAAGTCATGAACTGGGCCACATTACGTCGTAATAAATTAATAATGTGACCTAATGGAATCATCTTCCTAAGAGCTTTTCTGGATAGCATTAATGCTGCTGAAATAAAATACATTCCTGTGCAGCAATACTATCATGCTGAGCCATTCCCGGTTTGTTCTGAAGAAGCTGCTAAAATATACATAACCTTATAAAAATGTAAACAGATTCTTTCTTCTATTGTATGCATCCCTTACTAAGTAGCACAGAACTGGAACATATCTAAAAGTGGATTCTGTTCCTGTTGCACTTATCACTACTTCTAATTTCTTATGTTTTAAGTGAGATATTAAATATTGTAATTTATTTACCAGTTTAAGAATTAGAAATTCACAGGTACTAAGTGTATTAAGTATGACTGGTGTATATCTATTAAATATAAATAGAATCAATACTGAGGCTAAATCCAACTATTAGTCAGAACTAAGGCAGGAAAATATTTACAAGAGGGAAATGTTCAAAATTAATTTAGATCCCCAAAATGCTGAGACAGCACATGACATCTACACAATTTCTAAACATGGAAAGTTTCCTTAGATCAAATCAAGCTACTAATTTGTTGGTTTTTTTCATGTAACAGTAGCAGCTACTGAGTATTTCAGATAGAATTTATCCCAGCCTTCCTGGAGATGTCAGGAATTGAACTCTAGACCTTTTGTTTGCAGAACATTAGGTCAACTACAAAGCAAAAGCATTATTTCCAAAAGGACTGCAGAACCACTGTTCTGCACAGCGGCTCCATACGAAAACTGACAGGGTTGTGGGGTACAGCCTAGGGCTGACACAGCTTAGGATGAAATAAACATTTGTCTGGAGTCTTCTGCATCTGCCAAGAAGACAAACAAAAAGCAGCAGCAATGGGTCCATAGCAATTAGGAAAAGTGACTGCCTAGAAAATCAGGTGAAGCCCCCAAACTGTGGACCCTAACATACTACCAGGGATAAATAACTGAGATCCCCTAAACACATTCAGGAAACTAAGCTAGAAACAGCCCAAGAGGCAACATGTTTGGCATCATCCATCAGGATGGAATACTAAAGTTTTCCCATACCTGCAAATCTGACATGAAGTACATCCGTCAACAATGAAATAGACTTTGAGACCATCTAGGCATAGTTCTACTGAATGCAGATACAGTACTGTGTTTTAAACAACAGTTTAGTGCAAAGACGTACAGAAAAAATGCCAAAGCAGGTCAACAGTTTAGTTTTACAGTCTGGAAAGAGAAGCAGTAATAAAAATCTGATGGATCACAAGGCTTGACTTCTAGGGGGAAAAGGGGAAATTAAAAGAGGAATTCATTTTCAAACACACTGGAAAACAGCAAAATGTCTTAAATATTTTAAACTCTGTGGTATGTAGTTCAAATATAAAGGACCACATTAATGCAATCCAAACATACTTAAGAAGGCTTTGCCCTTGTGATCTAGGAATATTAACTGTTGCAGAAAGTAAATCTTTATCATTGGAGACAAGTCTTCCACAATCTGTCTTGCAATGAAAAACTTTTTTTGGTTTAATTATGAGAGATGCAAAGATATCTTTGGAAAAAACAATTCTCAGTAATACTGATCTTATTAAGAAGGCATTAATTATTGTATAAGATGAAATAAAGGCAACGTCTTTCTGCCATATCTTGTTCCTCAGAACTAATTTCCTGGGGCTGCATGGGCATGGTCAGAGACACATTATTATTGTTTTCTCCTGACCAGCTCCCCATCTGTTTTATTTACACTTACACACACACACACCACTCTCTGTTCCATTAATTTCTCCCTCCTCTTCTCTCATCAACTTGAATTCAAGGTACATGTATGCTTATTCTTGTCACACTTAACTATGGTTAACAATGGCCTCTGAATATGTAAATTGTCACTATCAAACTGTCAAATACTGCAATGCAGCCAAAGAAGACAGTGTTCCCCTACAAAACTCTGAACGGAGGAATTCTAAATTCTATTAGGAGTGAAAGAGACAGCCTGGATCACATATGCAAAACAATATTTCTAGAAATGTGACATTAATAATCTAGTTTTCAGAATATAAGGCTATAAGTAGAAAGCAGATTTGTCCTCTATAACGTGGCTCAGTTACTACAAAAATGGCTGTCAACCCTTTTCAATACTCATTAAGGAGACACTAGAATGCACACACACTTTATGTTCCTCTATTTTTTTTTAACAGAAGCATACATACCATCTCATATTAGGCATATATTATTCTATACTTCTACAAGGTTCTAGCTAAATCTATTTTTATCAAAGGCTAGTAGACTTGGGCAAGATACACAGCTTCAGAGTAGCCCCAGAAGAAGGGAATGGTAAATCACTTCTGAATACTTTGCACCTAGAAAACCCTGGAAAGTTCTGTCAAGTCACAACTGACTTGACAGCACTTAACTAGACATTATTATTTTACTCTTTGGTAATTGCATGCAGAGTTTTGTAGACTTAAGCTCTAGTTCCTTTGGTGTTAAGAGCTTCTTAGATTATCATCTTAAAGTCTTGTTCCCTTATCCTCCAATTCTTGCTCTTTTCCAGCACTACCAACTTCTGAGACCAAGTAATTCCCTTTCTTAATTTGTGCTGTTACCTGGACTATATTTATAGACTACTTCTACTCCTCCGAGACTTTTCTTTTTACAAATTTAGTTCTTCTCATCATATTTGTTATGCTCACCTTATATACATATGATGCCTTTTTTTTCTTTTGGCATTTTGCCTTTGGCCTGGCTTTCTAGACTCATAATAGTTGGAATCCAACTGGGATCTCTAATTTCAGACTTCAGATCATGGCTTGCACTATTATTTAGGGACCAAATCATGATCTTTCTGGTAACGCTTCACCTCACTTTTCTAAAAGCAGCTTAAATTATTGCACAAAATGATAAATTGCACAAGATATAGCAGTAACAATTACAGTTTCTACTGTTGGTCAACTGATGTACTCCAAAGAAAAGAAAATGTGAAGATGAGTACTGTAGTTGTCTCAAGTTTGTTGATCAACTGCACTCCGTGGTTTGCCAGTTCTGGCACTGTGTCAAATTACTATGGCTGCTTAACATGATGTCTATTGTGAGTCAGCCTCTTTGGAAGCAGTCACATTAATACCACTAACTGGCACTATC